AATATCTATTCAATTATATATATTATTTTTGTTGTTACTGCTTGTGTATTCTCTTTTATACGTGTTAAATGGTTGTCAAAATTGACAAGTAGCTCCGGAACGTAGACCCGATCATTTTTGGAACATTCAATCCAATCCAAATGCATGCGTATGCATTATATTTGCTATTACTTTTATTGTGTTATAAACATATTCAGTAATATGTATTCATCATTATTCTTTTTATTGCATATCATCATAGGGTCCAGCAGCCATAACGCATTTTTTATATAGATGGATTTGATTGAATTACGCTGAATTGATGTTGTTCATAACATAAACATATTAAATATTATGTTATATACGAAAACATAATCAATGACGGGAACAGGGTTAAATCAGTATAGTAACTATATAAGTATAGCTTATTTTAACTATTTAGTTTGGAACTATTTAGTTTTAGTTTTTGCTTATTCCATCAGCATTAGCATAAAAAGTACCAATTTATACCAATTTCGTTATAATTGACTTGCAGAATTTCCAACTAAAAGAATTTATATTTGTTAATAAATAAAGAATATTAATATATTTTTAAAAAAACATACCTGTAAAGGGAATCTTTCGCACGAACTAATAAAAAAAATGTGGTCTAAAACTTGGCAAAATATATTTTGGTAAAATGTATGAGTTTTGCAAAATTGGTATTACAAATATTGACTATCAAGAACTTGAAATAATAATTATCTAATAGAGCTACAGGGTCTGCATACCAAAGCTTCCACTTTCTACAAACTGTCAAGTGTTGCTCACTTCTTCAGTAACAACAACAACTACTTAATAGTTGGAAATATTGACTATGTAATATATCTGATTAGTTTGTTTTCCTTCTAGTAGTATTGACCCATATTATAAAAATTTAGAATACTAAAGTAATACGCATAGACAATTCGAGTTGTGTTAATTCGTCTTAGTCATTTAAATTATTAACATACATAAAAATTAAGATTAAAATTAGGACGGAATTGTTAAAATAAGTGAAATACACAGTTTGTGTATTGGATATACTGAACTTAAGATTGACACAGTAGTTCATAAAAAAATTCTTTAATATTTAGTCGCCACTAAGATTCAAAAAAAAAAAATAAACTGATTAAACTACTATGTAACCTATTTTGTTGCTAATATTACTACACATTTAAATATCTGTTTGTATACCACCACTCGGCCCTGGTGCCGATGGTTCAATCGTAGCAGGAGCAGCACGCTGACCAGGTTGTGGACGTCTGGGTCTACTTGATTCTGGTGCAAAATATTGTTGCGCTTGTTGCTGATACACTTCCTCTTGACCACCATATTCACTAACATCACGATTACTAATTTCATTCAGGCGCTTATAACGTTCACGTCGTGCCTCGACGATATATAGTATACCAGCTGGTAGTAGCATTACAGCACCAACAACGGCGAATGCAAATGCCCAACCCATATCATTTGTTTGCCAACCTGGCATCCAATCACGAGAATCACCTTTAGCACCAAATATTACAACAGCTATGAAGCCAAATAATGAACCCAATATTTGACATGAGCCCTTTGTTAATAATAATACAACGTATCGATCATCGTCTCTGGATGTGCGTAAGAAGGCGAGTGTCAAGGGAAGTGTTATTAGGCACATTACAAAACAGAGCGTGGCGAAGAATTGCACAGCAATATAAAATCCAGGCAGTAAGAAGTCGTGTATAATATAATATTCTTCTTCAAAAACCCACATGCAGCCTGTGAAGACTGTATCGTAGAATCGATGTATATCTGTGAAATTGTTGAAACACACCTCCCATAGGCCGAGGTTTGTAAATCGTGGTGCTCTTAATGTTCCATCTGTGACTAACCAATAGGGCGAAACGAAAGCTATGAAAAATAATAAAAACGAAAATGCTGATAATCCAACAGCTATGCGCGTATTTCGGTTGCTGGCACCCATTTTCAATTATCGCTATATTTTAATTTTTAATTAATATATTATTTTGTTTTTAATTTTATTTGTAAATAATAAATTGCACTCCACGCCCAACTATCGTACAAGTATTTTACAACAACAATGCATTCCACAAACACTGCTTTATTAATGAATTAGGATCATCATTGTGGATGGAATTTGGCAGCACTTCAAAAGGGTGTATGGAACAAAACTTTTTTAAATGAGAAATTATAGTTGTTCCCACTGCACTGGATATTATTAAATAATTAATGTTATTTAATAATAATTGTTAAATGATTATAAATTTAAATAAATATTTTTACTAAAATAAATGTCTTAATTTGCGAAATTAAAATCATTTCGTTACAATGTTTTGCAATCCATCAATAATCGATGGTATTGTTAATGGTTATATAACTTCTTTTTTACTGCAAAATAATATATAAAATTAATTATTTACTAAATATTAATAATAACTATAAGTGTATAATAATATATAAGAAAAAAACAACTGTATTTTTTTAAAGCGAGAAATAAATGTAACGACCGTCTTAATCAGCCCATAAAATAATCGTCGATTATAACATCTATTGTTGTTATACAATTAAAAATGTGACAATCGATGATCACCTATATAGAGGTCATATTATATAAGGTCTGTTTCATGAGGTGCTTGTAGGAACTTTGAGTAACACTGTGTATACACAAGTGCGTTCCACCAGGAAGTTTTCGGGTCAATGAGAGCATCTGAGAGAGACTTTACTCGTACATTTAATTTCAGGTAAAATTTGTGTGATGTGTGAATCAGCTATTTGAATTTAAATTTTTGTATTGTTTATTTGCCCGGCATTGGTGTTCTCACCAGACTTTACACAAAGCTGTTCCATGAAAATCTCTTATTGTGTACTTTATTTGTGTTTTACTTAAGTTTTACTACGACTATCTCGTGGAGTAGAGCTACAGGCATTTATAGTTACGCCTAATTTCAAGTTGTTGTTCTCAATGTGAATTAAAAAATTTGGAATAAGATAACGAGGGAAATGTTTATATAGGCATATTCACTCAAAAATAAATATGTTTCAAATTGAGGCACAAAAAAAAAACGTATCAAAATAGTTGTTTAAGTACCAAATTCACATTTGACTCTATTTATAATCTGTCTTTTGGGCATGACCAAAAAGAGTTCAAAATTACCATGATTATTCGGTTGCTAATAGCAGTGCATATAGCAAAAAGAACTGAATCACATAGATGTCCAAAGGTACATCTTTAATTTAATTTAATTTTTTAATACCTGTATTGTGACAAGTGGAGTCAAAATCTGAAAAATATTTACTAATTTGCAGTGGTAACTAATGCTAAAATGACCAAGAGTGGTTTGTGTACTTAATATTGAAAAGCTTGTACAATGACAATTAGTTACAGAATGTTTATATTACGAGCTTTTGTGGTGGAAGTCGTCTTTGAGTAAAACCAATCACCAAAGCTTTTTTTCTCATGTAAAAATAAGAACCAAAGTTAGACTTTCATCAAAATTTGTATTATTTAATAACTTTTCTTGAATACAGCATTGTATATAAAGCATTATTGATCAGTTTTAGTACAAAAATTCCTCATTAGTTTTATATGTTTTGTATTAATTATAAGTGAAAAAGGATTCTTATTTCTGCACATTTGTTATGTTAATTGCGTTAGTGTAAACGTTGTGTCAATTTAATTTAATTGTGTTGTAAAATAGTATCAATTAAACGTCTGTGAATTAAATAAAAAAAGGTATAAAAAAAATTACAATTAATATATTAATAAGATTTCTATTATATTTATTATAATAAACAAATAAATTATAAGCAATAACAATATTAAAATTTGAATGCGCTATAAAGTTTTACACAATGTACACTCTGTCTTTTCGAGTATACACTGTTTATTGTTATTTCGCGTATATGTGCCATCCCTTTCCAGCGCATAAGTACATGTCAAAGTAAACGCCAAACTTATTTACTATACTATTTATACAAAAAACAAGTTAGCAGGCAGGAACAAAGGAAATACCTGAAAGTTTTTTAATAAAAATGTATACATAATAAAGAAAAACGTGCCACAAATAATTTTTACTTATTAACAGCGTAATCGGTAGTGTGAGAAAGAAGTTTCTTGAATTATTTTACATCGTTTTTAAAGGTTTTTAATTACGTGTATACAAAAAAAATTTGCGCATTCAGTGAAGATGGCATCTGAAATTGAAATTGTGAATATAGGAAATTTGGAGAAAATACAAAATTTTCTAAATGATTCCGCTTACAAAGAAATACTTGAGAATAGTGAAAATTTCAATACTCGCCTCTGTATTGAACGACGTTTACGTATGCCTTTCTTGGATACCCAAACGGGTGTAGCACAAACACATTGTGAGCTCTTCATGAAGAAGAGACAACGTATGCCCGGTTTTCGCGATGGCCAAATCTACACTTATCCCTCAGCACGTTGGCGTAAACCGAAGAGACAATATTTACTCAATCATCATCATAGTTATCGAGCGTATCAATATCGTGAACCACACCACTATCATCATCATACTAACTCCTCGGCTGCAAGGGACCATCACCAATCGGAAAGTGCAGGTAAGTTGTGTGAAAATAAAATATATTGTTTTTTTTTTTAATTTCTACAAAAATTAAATTCAAATTGATTTTTATATATAGAGAATTTGCTGAGTCAGCTACATTTAGCCGTCATACATATTATACAATATTTTCCTAATTCATATTGCATTCTTGATTAATGATTACTTCGCATTTTTTACATACAAAATAATGCATATAGTTTGGATCTAAATTTGATACCTCTTCGAATGTATTCATGTGAATATATAATAGTCATATATACTACACAGTTTAAGTAAAATGCAGGCTTATTATTTCAAAATGTGCCATATGGTTAAATATATCTCAACTAATTCAGAACATAACGTCTAGAATGACTAAACCTCGGATGCTTTCCTTTTAAGCACATATTTAGTAGTAAAAAGGAAACATTCTACTTATAGACAAATATGTATCGGCCCTTTAAAAAATTCAACTACTACTTTTTCTAGTTACGTATTTTTTTTAGATATTTCTCTAGCGGTGATAGCAAAACTATTTGACATTCTCCATATACGTATGGGTTCAAAGAGAAATAAGGAGCTACAAAATTTTTCTAATACGTCATTTCTCTAATACATAACAAAAGAGTAGATCAAATATCCTCAAGTAATTTGGGCATTAATGGCGTTTTCGATTGGTAAAACTGAATTTAATCTAGATTGACTCTCTATCTGACAAATTTTGTTGCTCAATTGAACATTTTGCGAATAATCCAACGTTTTTGTAGTAGTTTAGTAGACAACATACTTGTCATAAATAAATATATCGAAACAAATCGCACTTAATTTGTGTAGTCATATAAAACAATTTTTAAATAATATATTGCACTAATCTATGTGATTTATAAGCTAATTTACAGAAAAATATGATCAATTTGGTGTCCTTGTTACTGTGATAGTTTTACTGAGACTGATATGTGACACATACTTGTCGATTTTAAGTAGCTCAAGTTTGTAGACCCGTTCGCTCATGAAACTTTTTCCTATTCTTATTTAAGCTACTGTTATAAGACGTCTCTTAATAGCATATGTGCGAAACACCGATAAAAGTTGCAATCGATATTTGATGGTCGTAAACCCATGTCTCCATTACATACAGTGTAATACTCTTCGAATTAAATTTAAGTTATCATTCCAACTACCTTTTCATATAGTCCAATAGATGCCAACGAAATTTGTAGTTAGTACTTCATATTTCGATGGTAGTTTGTAATTATAATTGGATAAAATTGGATTAACTTCCAATTATTCTCTTAGCTTTCTACTTTTAAGTGTATAATGGATGACTAAATAATTTCCTATGTCTATTATTGTTTATTACATTTGTTTGGCAAATAATTTATTGAAAACCTTGGATAAGTAATTTTTTTGATTTGAACGCTAATATTTACAGATTATTTTACCTGAATATTCTGTACCTATTACACTTCGAAAGCTGCAACCATTACACTAATATTTCATTCCAAAAATAATTCTAATTACTCTCTTAGAACTCTATCCTTAAGTATACAATTAAGTATAACAATTTCCTTGGTCCATCGTTTTTTACTAAATGTACTTTGGCAAAAACTTGATTAAAATGTTAGTTCATTTTTATTTACTCCAAAGAATGGTTAAATCAATTGTCTTGCAAAATATATATATACAATAATATATATACATTAAGCATATATATAGTGCACTAATTATGCTGCATAATCTGTATACCATAATTATCAGAGCCAATGTTAACTTATTCTTACAGCAAGATCCACAAAATTCAGTTTTTAATTCAAATTTCTATTTAGATTCCTATAAGATTTTGTTCATATTATGTTCTTATAGCTATCGCAGCTGCAGATGGAAATTCAATGAGCGCTTCGGGTGACAATGATAGTAAAGACTCACATCCAAATGCTGAAAAAGAGTGGTTCCACGAAGATATGGATATATCACATTATCATCATGTAGATGACTTCGAAGAAGATTTTGAATCAGATAACGATTTCGATGAATCATACAGTAGTCGTGGCAAACGTAAACGTGGATCACGTTCGCGAAGAGTAAATACTACTTTGGATGGTACCCCAAAACGTGGACGTAAAGGTAAATCTCGCTTTCATATATATGAAAATTAATGTTATAATTGAATATAATTTATATTTAGCACGCCGACGCACAACTGGTCCTGATGGTGAAGTTGTTGATGGACGTCGACGACGTGGTGGTAATAATACTGCAGTGGCAGCGGCATCTGCAGCAGCTGCTGCAGCCGCACATGTTCCACCTATAGTTGCTAGCAATTCAAATTCAGCTTCACCGATTGCCACGCATGACGAGACATCTCAATCATTACTTGGTGTACCGACCACAGTAGTGCCGCATTTGTCTACACTTGATAAATCAACCAGTGATACTGGTGCTTCAAATGATGCTACATCATTGGCTAGTACTAGTGCAACATCACCTGTTGCTCCGGCAACTCTTGCAGGTGCAATTACACCCGCCATTAACGCAAGTCCCAAAAAGGAACCTAAGAATAAATTACGTGCTGATCGTGAAATAGCGCAACCATCACCGTATTGTGATTTTTGTTTAGGCGATCAACGTGAAAATAAAAAAACAAATCTACCCGAAGAGCTGGTATCATGTTCAGATTGTGGTCGTTCTGGACATCCTACTTGCTTACAATTCACACCGAACATGATTATTTCAGTGAAGAGATATCGTTGGCAATGTATTGAATGCAAATACTGTTCGATATGTGGCACCTCTGATAATGATGATCAGTTATTATTTTGTGATGACTGCGATCGTGGTTATCATATGTATTGTTTGTCACCGCCATTGATAACACCACCTGAAGGTTCGTGGAGTTGTAAGCTATGTATGGAAGAATTCCATAAGGAAAATCAGTAAAACCATTAGCGTCAAGCTTAATGCAGTTGGTAATCGTTAACATTTAATTATAAAATGTGGGTATGTATGATTACGTTGCGCTGGACTTTATTTACATTAATCTATCGTTTAGATATACATAAACCATTAGACCGGAACAGAATTAAAAATTAGTTATTCGGCAAAATTTGTATAGTTAATCTTGGCGGCTTATAGAGAAATTTTTCTCGATCACTAATACTTCTATGACTTTAGTACTAATTCTAACAGAGGAGAACTTAACTATTATTTTTCGTTGCACAGTAACGTAATTATTTTTATAATTCATCTAAGGCGTAATAATATGTTTTTGTTTAAACTTTCTACTTTTTTATATTCCGTGGAAATTTTATCTAAATACGTTTTTTTAATAGAGAAAAATAGCACTTAACTTTCTGCTTTAACTAATAAAGTATTTACGCAGTTAATAATTGTGGTACGCAGTACAAAAATTAAGTATATAATCTATAATATCGATAAATGGGACAAAAATTTTTTTTAACACAAAAAACCTTTAGTCATAATAAAAAGCATTTATTTTCATTCAAAATATATATGGAGTAGTCAACCTCGGGGATAAACTTAAATATGTTTTTGTTTTGCATATACGAACGAGAGATCGGTATAATTATTTATTGTAAAGGTATCAGTGTTCACATGGTTTAGTTCATTTTCATCATCTCATAACTTAGTATTTCGCCTGCTCCATTTTAAATTTCATATCTACAGTACTGTACTAACATTACAAATTTTCAATGTAATTTTGAGAATTTCTTCATTATAATTAATAACATTCTCACATTTTTATTTCGAATATAATTGAATAATTAATTACATTCCTCACTCCCTCAAATTTTTTCTGCGATTCATCTCTTATTTTTTAGATTGTCTTAACATTTTGAGCACTCTTCGATATTATTTATTTTTACTCATATCTTGAACTCACTTTCATTCAAATTCAAAATATGGCATCTTTTATGTTATTATTTATTAATTATTAAGTATTTTTAATTAGCTGTTAATTTATTACCAATTAAATTTCTCCTAGTATTGTGTAAAGTATCTTCGCTTATTATGTATTATTTTTAGATGAATATATGTAACAAAACTTTCAAGTAAATCAAGTTTGTATAAATTTGAGTGCTTCGTAGTTTTATTCGTACATAAGTTATAATATAAGTAAATCAAATTAAACATATATAAAAGATTGGTATTAATAATTTCATGTGAATTCTGCTTCCTTATTTTAAATATTTAATTTAGCATATATTAATGCATAATGTATACAGTGAATATTATGTGTTTCATATATAACGTATTACTTGTAATCTACTTAAGACATAGCAAACTTAAAAAATAAAAATAATGCTCATTCAATGTAACAATCCTTGTGTTTTTATTTTACTTAAATAGTTGTATTTATCATTATAAAATTGAAAGTAAATATTATTACAATATTTCATATATGAATGTATTTATTGCAATATCTTTCTATTATCAAAAAAAGTATAATGTGCCGGTGTATTTTTATTTCATGACGTCATCATGCCCTCATTGCGGTGCAGTGAAGTTTTTATCTAGTATAAAAAAAAATAATGTGTGCCGTCATCATGCTGCTAGTGCAGTGTAATATTATTTATTAGAAAGATATAAGAAAAAATAAATAATACGTCGTTTACGTCTTAATTTCACTGATGCCAAAAGGAAAGAACGTCTTTGCATTTGGCGAGCGGGGGTTGGCAGAGTTCTATAATTTTGTACATAAGTATATTAATTTATGGTCATAACTATTTAATACAGTCCCTCAAGAAGATCTTTTCAGTCATGAAAATCTTGGTTTTAAAAGCACGGATCATGCAATATATAACAGGAAAACTTCAGATATATACGTACAGAGAATATACTACAGAGCCCTACAAAATTTAAATAACAACTATTTGTGTGAACTATTAGATTGAACTGCATACGTTATTATATCTCAGTACTACTATAACTTTAAGGCTTTTACATTACTTTTCTAGTTGTTTTTGTTAGTTGTCTTTGGCTGCTTTGTTTCGAATCGTATTTTCCAACATATTTGCGGTTGTATACAGTTAAGTATCTTAGGGGTTCATGTCATGAACCCCATCAGTCTTAGCCCATATTTTCTAAGTGTTTCTTAAACAACTATCAACAAAAAAACTTTTATTTAAGTTTATGTTCTGACAATCTATATTGCTAAGTCATAATATAGCAAAGACGAATCTAGTAAAAATCCAAAGCTGATGGCTGTACTAACTAGTTAAAAGGTTAGCTTAATGAATTTTTAACATCTGTGATAGAAAAAAAGAATAAAGTTACGACTAAGTTTTATTTATGTTAATTTTTATCTGATATCAGTTACTAATTGTAACTGATTTAGTTATGACTTCATATGCTAAATTTGAATTTGAAACGCTAGCACGATATCATCTACATCATTCAGATCCTAAAGGCTATTTAGTATGATGAAAACTTGATATCACGTTATTAATTACACATGGTTTGTCGCAGTTCTGCTCTGAAATCAGATATGTACTTATTGCTCTATAAAATGAAATATTTTGGATAAAGCGCAAGATTTGGCAAAACTCTTGAGTTCAATAAACATATTCTTGTCTTGTTTTATTGTCTCTTCGGAAGTTAAGATATTCGAACTCTTTAACATAAATCAATCATTTCCAGATATTCTTTACTATTTAGTTTAATTCGCATAGGTTTCGTCAAATATGTATTTTGTTTTTAAAGTCGGGATTTGGCTAAAAATTATATATAGTATAATGACTTTATCAGCCAAATCTTCTTCTCCAATTTAGAGTATATTCAAATGTAGTCAATTAAATGATAAATGGATCTTTATTCTTAAGTTCTCATTCCTGCAATAATATTCAGGACAATAAAGTGGAAATAAAGTAAAGTCATTAGGTGGAAAACTATCATCTTCAGAAGAAAAACTAACACAATACTTTAACAGAAGAATGATATCATAGAAGAAGAATATTATAAAAATTTGAAATAAAACTTTAAAACTCGGTAAAGAAACGCTTAAAAAATTAATTTTAATATTAAAGATTTTATTTTTTTTCTAATTTTTTTAATAAAATATATTAATAATAAATATTAATTTTAAATGTAATTCAAGATTTATCATTGTTTAAGTAATTACTATAAGGTCGTATTTTCACTTTTGATTTTGATCTTCCAATAGATGAATTTAAAATTGCCATTATTCTTGGATTCATTGTTACTGTCAAAGCTTCTAAAGGTTTCCTGGATTTCTGAGCAGTAGCCATATTTTTGAAATTTGAACATATTTTGTATTTAACAGAATCTCTTTGTAGTTTGGCTTTTTTGTACACATTTTCCTTATTATCTTCGGAAGCTTGATTGTTTGATTGTTTATGGGGATCCAGACTTGCACTTCGATTATCCCTTTTTCTTTTACCATAACCTTCTGAACTTGATGGCTTTTCATCGTTAACATTCGGTGGAGTATTTCGTTTTATTTGATCAGTGACTGTTTTATCCATGTTTTTTATAAAAACTTCGTTCTTAGTATCAATCGATTGTGTTGGTTTGGTGTCTGGTATTATATATTTCGGCTTATGTGCTACTCTGACTTTTGGTTTGATAACTGGTTGAACTTTTTCATAATTAATTTCAACTGTTGGACTTTTTTCTCTCATGTGCTTTTGCGATCTTCCAGTTGAAATTTCACATAACAAGTTGTATTCTTGTTCTAGCTCCATTATAGTCAAAGTAAATTTCTGATATTATTGTAACCTTAAATGGTATGTTACACGATAAAATTGAGATAACGAATGATGGATATAATTTCAGTTTACTCTTTTTATAAGTATGAATTTAGTAGTGATCTTAAGAGTTTGTTTTAAATTTATTCACTCCATTTTTCAGGTAGGAGCCTTCATTCGTGAATACTTAAATGACCTTTTATAAAATTCACTATAATTCAGGTTCTTAAAACGGTTGATAAGAATATATTAAAAATACATAGATTTTCTATTTAAGTTTCGAGTATTGAAACATGTTTTTTTAAATATACATTTATGACTTAGGTACCCGTTTCGTTTTTTAATAACGAACTTTTATACCTACTCTATGCATGTTGAATTTGGTTTAATTGAGATAGTATCTAGAGACTAGAGAAATAAATAGGTAAAAATCCCATATCCTACCTAAATGATTTTTAATTCTATTATTCCCTTAGACATAATATCGGTGAAAATACGTTTTATTACTTAAGGATATTATTTTATATAGAGATATATTATACAAATTAGTAAAAATAATACATGGTCGGTATATAATTTTTCAATAATACAATAGTATTTACTATGAAAGCTGAAAAGTTGCAATTATTAAATTCTTGATATTATGGTTATAATAGTAGTTTATTAAACGGCTGGAAAAATCCCTCACAATTTTTGTTATGTATTTTTAATTCCTTGACAATAACAAATACACAAATGTATCTTTAACTATCGCTCTAATTGAAGCATAGAGCGATAGAAAAAAAATATATACTATTAGGGATTGTAGTCCTAAGATATAATTTATCTTAATTGGTGTCTGATTGATCTTTGCATTTTGCTAAATAAGTTAAAATGAAACGAAGGGCTCCAAATTTTCCTTGTATCTACAACAAATAAAGCAAATCACATTTATTTGAAAGTCCTATTAATAATTAAATTCTGTACTTCATTGATATACCATATATTGTCCAATTGATTTACATATCAAGAATATTTCATGTAAGCTAATTAAAAATGAAATTAGTAATTCAAGTTGCCAGATTTTGAAAAAATGTCGGTAAAAGTGATTAAATTGCTGTTAGAAAGCCGATAGATAATATCCATTGTAATTGCTGAACGCCTAATATATCCAACTTGATGAAACATAAACCATAAATAATACTTAAAGATCATATATACTGATAATACCGAGGAATTAATTGCAAATATTGTTTCCGTAAAAGACGAAGACTTTCTTTACATATAAAAAGCCTTGATTACACACATGTGATATATACTAATTTTTCAGTCCTAATGGGTTTCTCAGTTCCTTATGTATTCTGACAGATTTACTTACCAATTAAGAATAATTTATGCATAAAACTAATAATTTAAGTAACCATATGTCGCTTGACTCTCACAAGACTGATGTTACTGGGTAAAATCTTACTGCTAAAGGCACTTACTTTTATAAGTGATGATATATAAATCGATGACAGATTTTAACACCATCCTTCAAAATGAATATGTGTACGAATAGTAATAGTATCCAAAATCAAAAAGTTATTAAATATAATTAAAATTATGCAGTTAAAATTATTTATTAAAAATACTTTCTTGAGAAAACAAAGAGCAATAAGATTGAAGGGGAATAAGTACCTAATTTACAATTTTCATCATCGAAATCGAAATTTTAGTTTCGATATTCGAGGAATAAAATCAGTTAGATATAAGTACCTATGTAACAACTCTTGTCATTACAATACTGTTTAATCAACAGCCACATATGGCGTTGGAACGTGGGATCTAACCAAGGCAAATAAACATGGTCTTAAAGTCTATGAAAAAAAAATGCATCGAAAGTTTTTAAATGTTAAAGAAAGATATAGATCGGAATTTCTATTACTGTGACAAAGAAAACAAAGTGATTTATGGTTACTTAGTCCCAAATTAAAAAAATTAAAGTCCCAAACTAATTTTAAAGATTTTACTTTATTATAACTTTTGTACTTTATTTGATTGCTTAAATAAATATCTTAAAATGTAATATCAGTTTCTTTTTAAAAATAAGTCAAACCTTTTTGATCTTAAAATAGATACGATAAAAAAATATATAAGGGACAGAGCTCTGAAGCTATATGCGAAATTCGACAGGCTGCCCTACTTAGCACTATCTAATCTCAGAGTAATCACTAACCGCACGGGGTGGTACGCAGATCTTAGATCAATCATTGAATAATCACAAAAATTATCAGGAATACTTAAATTAGCCAGTGAGATGGGTGGGACTCTGCAGAATCCCCCCAGCTATCATAGAGTAAAAGTGCCCAGATGCACTAACTCGGAAAAGGCTTAACATAATAACATAATAATAATAAAGATTAAATGACTTCAAATTCTTTCAATTATTTGTAATCATTGCCAATTTTAATTTACAGATTTTTAAGTTTTTTTTATTAAATAATGGTAATACATTACTAAAACTTTTGGTAATGTATAGTTATATTTAGTACCTTATATTTTCAATATCGAAATAATTGTCCAATACTATTATTTCCACTGTATCGCTCGTTCCGTTAATTACATGTAATGGCAAGATATATAAGATATAACATAGTCATTTAATTAACAGTAAGAAGGATGTTAATTGAACAACCTACATGCATCTGAACCTAAAATATTTATTTAAATGAAGAGTTAAATGAGTTCAACATAAACTTAACTTTCATATCGTAATTGTTACCAGAATTTTCGCAGTTATCCATTTCATATAATTGCCACTAATTGAAATTCTTGAAAGAAGTAAGCAATATTTTTACCATTTCTGAAGTTTAGAGTGATGGTTGAAATTAGTTGTAACTGAAACGAGAAAATGTTTAGTTTAAAATTATTCTTATACGTTTACGGACTTCTTAGTTTATATATTGCATTGGCTTCCAGTGATTATGAATCAAGACGCAAACGGTTTTTAATATTTCCGAGACAAGCACCTACAAGGCATCAGGTACTTTGGAAGTAGAGTGAATAAAGTCATCAGAAATTGTGATAGAAATTTCTAATGAACTATTTCGTTGAATAAACACCTGTCGAATTATATCAAAATTTACTTAACTGTTGGATTTCAGAAAATGATATTACACTATAAATTTATTAATAATTAAAAAGCTGGAATGAGTAGTCTCAATTTTAACAAAAGAGAACAGCACAATGGTGTATATAGGTTCGATTTCGGTTATTTTAACTGATATTAGTTTTTTTATATTTATAACATTTTATATGATATAACATCGTTACTGAACGCCAATGTCTTTCAAATCATATTCTGTGCATAAAAAAACTATGATTAGGT